AATCACCTCTTGCCTTTCTTAACACTTCCCGCCACAGTTTTTCTTGCTAAAGCTTTCCTCCTTTCCGATTGCATCTAGCCTGTGTTATCTGGTGACCATTGCTTTTCATATGCTTTTACACTTGAGTCGCTGCTGTGGCCTTTATGCGTGCTTTAATCGTCAGTATGCGGATTATATATCTGCTACAATTGAAGAGGGGAGCTTCTCATGGATCCCGGAGTTTCGCTTGTGGGGTCTCATCACCGAGCATTCCCTAGAAGGCACACTGTCATCGCTACAGGTAACAAGAACTCCAGGCATCTACACGCACTTTGGTTTTGCGTATATGGATGCATACACTTGGGGCCTGAATTGAGGTTTCGCCAGCGCTGTTTTATCTGCTGTCTGTAGCGAATCAGTACCAGGAAAAGTGTTATCGTTTTGGGCTTCCGTTATGTGCATCTCTGTCTTGCGGTATCTCATCTCCAGAGCGTCTGTTCGTTACTGTCGCATTCTGTATTTGCGTCGCTGGTCATTTAAGTATCCATAGCAGCTCGTGTGTCCTCGTGTGCATGTAGTTGTATATATTGGTTCCTATTTGTGGATCTAGTTACGTGCGACTACGTGTGTCTGCTGGTACATTTTTCTCTTTCTGTAGTCCTCTCTGCCTCCTTTGCCTCCAGGAAGCGTTTTTTCATATGTACGAGCAAAGTGAAGTCATTCTTTTTTGGAATCTTTCGAGTTCGCCTCACTCGCAGCCGCTTGCTCCGTTGCTGCAGTCAGGGTGTTTGCGCGCTGCTGCTCTTTGCCGGGGCCCCGTGGAGTGGTGGCTCACGGCGGCTGGCCTCAGCCATGCAGATAGAGGGCTGCAAGGTGGTTTCCTTAAAAAGGCCCCGGCGGGCGTTTCTTTTGGCGCCCTGGCACCCCTTACCTGCTCAGACTTGGGGCTAACCTCTGTCAGTCTAGTGACATACGAGGAAACCTATGCACGAGAGCTTGCTCACCCCATTCGCCGAGCCCTGCAGCTGCACAAGTCCACGCAGGCCCTCAAGGCCCAGTTACAACGGAAAGACGGGGCTACAAGTTCCCCAAAAGACACGTCAAGTCCCACACCTCAAGAAGGCACCTCGCAAGAATCTCCAAGCCCGGCTGCACCAGCGGAGCCCACGCAAGATGCACTAATGAGAGCCGCATTCAACGAAGAAGAGAGAGCTCTGTTTGCGGTGTGGCTGTCAGGACTGTGAGCTACTGCGTCATCCTGCACGGTAGTATTTCATGTTGTGCTGTTGTGTAATCTGCTGCGTTGTGTTGAGTTGCCTTGAGCTAAGCACCTTTTGCCTGGTATTCTGCTCAGAGTTGTGTGTGCTGGGTTTTTTTTCCGTGGACTTTTGTTGCTTGATTCTTCGCCTTGTTGGGTTCGCTCCTTTTTGGAGGGGACTACGTCTATTCATATAGCTTTTTATGTTGTGCGGCTGTAGGCGCCTTGTTTACTTTCACACTGTGGCGCTTACCTTTTTTGCCATCCTCTCTCTTTTCGTTTTGGCTATGTGATGACAGTCTCTCAATCTGTATATGTCCATTGCCTGTGATTGTTCTTTACGCCTGTATGGTTCCTGTTTCGCTGCCCGTGCATGGTCATTGCCCGCAGCTGTGTGGTGCTTCCCACTGCCCACAGGGCTGTGCTTAAGGGGATGACTGTGGTTATTATCACATATCGAGAAGGGTCACAATTTCACATCCAATTTCGTTACCAACCCCTGTGGCCACTTTGTTTGCGGCCCGTGCGAAAGGTGGACGTAGCGCGCTGTGGATTCGTGTTCGTGTTGTCGAATCGGACTTTGAACGCGTTATTATCCAGCCCGTCTTCTTTTGTTGAATTCAGACAGCGCTTCTTGTTTCATCTCTCTTCGAACGCATGGGAACTGTTTTAAACTGCGCAGGCACCCAAAGATCTGGCGCAGTGCGTGGCCAAGCCGGTTGTTGGGTGCTGAGGCCAGCCACGCCCTGTCCCGCCACGAATTCGTCTCAGGGTCTCCTAGCCCAGAGTCCCCCCTGCCCACAGGGGCTGTGGAAGAGACCTCTGCTTCTTGGGAAGCCAGTGGCTCGCTGTACAGACCCGGACTGAGCCAAGCGGAGGTCAATGTGCTGCAGTCTGTCGCGGGTGTTTTAAGAGCTCTTCCAAAGGAGGCCCCAAGATCCCCCGAAGTCTTTGAGGCTGGGAACAGCCTCAGTATGGCCAATGGTGTTGCGCCCCCGTCGCGTGCTGCCGAAGCTTCTGTCACATCTGCAGGAAGTAACAATAACCCGCAAACTACTTGCTGCTTCTCCCGGACCTGCGCTGCTTGTCGTCCAGCCAACGCAACGGCAGCGTCTGCTTGCGGAACAGACTCGCAAAGCGTGGAGGCAGACGGCGCTCTTGGAGGGGCTGAGGGAGCGCTGAAAGAAGCTGTCGGCTCTCTTATTCGCTCAATCCCCGGAAGGACAAGGTAACGGCGGCCCTAATCATGCACCCCTAAAAGCGCTGTGACCCTTCTACGTTTACATCCCAGCTCCTCTAAGCTCGTCCTTGACGCTTACCTTGACGCTTACCAGTGTAACTAAAGAATCTATGCAAAAGGCCGATGCAGAGGATTTCAGGGAGCGGTTTGTGCTGATGGCGCTGCAGGCGCCTTCGCCTTATATTGACGGTGATGCAACCGTCCTCAGAGTTTCAAGATGATAGGCTTCGTGCGGCTCAAGACCTGATCGCGGAACTTCAACAAGTCACAGATGGTACGATGACACCTCCCGCATCCCCGACTTCTGGTAGAGGGCGGATGGCTCAAAGGCTACAGTCCACTTCGTAATGAGGTTACTGAGGAAGTCCAACTTCTTTATTTGAATAAGTGTTCGAGGCTTGCAGAAGAACTGGATGTGTGTTCTTGGGGCAAATGAATGTATAGACTTTGTGGCTGAATCGGGCTGATTGCATTCAGGCCCAGGATGTGGGTGTGTGCGTTCTGCCTGGCCGTCTGCTTCCTCTCGGCAGACCGAGGCCCTCGGCACTGCTCATTGCTCCTGCAGCAGCTGCGGGTTGCTTAAGGCCCTCTATTCCCACCAGTGTGCGACGCTCGGGATCCTCATAAAAGCCATGAAGCTGAAGAATCAGGAAGAGGCGAGCACACCCCTGTGGCTCTGTAGTTTGTGGGCGGTGAATTGTTCTGTGCTTCTCCGTGGACTTTGTACAAGGTGTATATTGCTTGCGCATGCGCTTGTGGATGCGATTGAGAGCGTACTGCATGTGTTTGCTCGGATATCTTCTGTATTTTGCTGGTTCGGTGCCATCTGATGTGAATGCGTAATCCAGAGTAATAAAGTGGATGACTCTACTGATTGGACAGTTTTGCAGGCCAGTCACATTCGCGAGGCCCTGGATGGCTGCCGAGGTGTGTGCTCCCCAGCATCATACATTGGTTGTCTCGTTAGTGCACAGATCAGCATGCTTCTTGTGTTGACCGCTGTGCGTCGCCAGATAGGTACAGAATGATGAGTGATGCCAATTTAGGGCTGAGGGCTTGTTTGTTTGAGTTCGCGTTTATGCAGAGTGCTTCACAAACTGTTGCGACGCCGTTTTGGCCAGCATTCGGGAACTGAAGGGCATCGACGGGCCGGCATTAACCAAAGAGGTTAGGGGCCTCCGCTTGCCTATTTTTGATGCGATGTTTGGCTTGAGCCAAGTCGCAAGTGTTTCCTTAGCCCTGTTTTTATCCGTGCTTCAGCAACTCGTGGTAAGCATGCAAAGTAAAGGGCCCACACTGTCTCATCTCTAATGAGCCCTACCGGTAACAGCTGGTCAAGAGAGACTGCAACAATGGCCGCAGAAACAACGCCACAACAGGGCGCCTTGCCGTTTTCAGTTGCGCCTAACAGTGGTAAGAAAGAATACAAGGACAGCTGTTGTGCCAAAGGTGCTGCTGCTGTGATTGCAGTTGTGGCATCGGGCCCTCAGTCGAACGCTTGGCACGACGTCGACCGCTTTCTCCGTCTTGCTGAAAGACGTGCAGCCTTCAGTGGCAGCATTCGTAGAGCATATCAAAGAGAAGCGCGAAAGTGTACGCTCCTGCGATGGCCAGGGCTTAGGTAAAGTATTACAGGCCAAGGATTTAGCGTCGCAGTTTCGATGCATGCGTGTTTGCAGCTGGTGGACGCCACCGAGGTCGCAACCCAACTCGAGGCTAGAGGCCAGCTTCCCTGGATGGCATCTGCTACAGATTTGCCCTACTCCGCGGCTGGCGACTCTGTAAAATACAAACACATATTAGGTTTTTCTGTGCAGCACTGCCGAGTCCCTGAAGCATTGCAGTCTCTGAGGCTGTTTACTTTACTGTGACTGTCTACGACCACGTTTCGCCTTTCGTTTGTGCGCCTTTGCATGCAGCTCATGGAGAAGGCCCGGGAGAGACTGCGCATGCGTCTCTGCAGCTCTTACATTGAGCAAGCAGTAGTGTTATGCTCGGTGGGTTCCTTTGATTGCATGTCTAGATCCCAACTCCGAAATGCGCAACCGTAGGGCTGTGCCCATTGCTTTTCACCCTTTTGTGCCGCGGTCGGGGAGATTAGAAAAGGGACCCTCATTCTCGTGAAAATTCGTGCTGGAGTTGATTTATTGCATGCAGATTCTCCGATACCGCATGGCAGCGTTTACAATGTGGCTGGATCAGGGATCAGCGGAGTCGGGGTGGAATCCGTAAACTGTGGGCAGAGGATCTCCACCAGCACTAGCGAGTGCAGGGGTTCCTCAGACAACATCGACCTGAAATAGGCTTGTCTCTGACTAACTGTAGCTATTCCCGCAGTAGTGGCTGCAGTGAAAGCCTCAGATCCTAGCCAAGTGGCTTTGGAATTATTTGCGGTGTGTACCGGTCCACTGCAATGTCTGCTACCGCTACTTGTGTTTCCCACGAACTAGCCCCAGATGTCTGTCAAACTGCATGCATGTGCATGCTCTGGATCTTAATGACCTGTAGTTTAGCCTCCGTGCCTCAGCCCGCCGAAGAGGCTGTGGAAACAGTCCCAGACTGAAACCGCCGCAGTAGCACGTTTAGCTTCGTAGCATGTGTCAGCAAGAGAGTCTGCGGGCTAGCCTCAGGCAGATCCACAACCTCTACTGGCGCGCTAGAGTCTCCTGAAAGACTACGATATCTCTCGAGTTCGCTGTTGCTGTTGCTGCCCTTCCCCGCAAGCACAATCAGACGTGGCACTTGCAGCCTTCCTAAACACTCAAACAGCCAGCCTGCGATGCTGGTCTCTGGAGCTTCTCCGCGCCATGGTGCGAGCAGCAGGCAGTCTTCAATGAACCCAGGAAGGCGCGCGGCCAAGAAGCAACTGCCGCTGACGTGTTGCACTCGCAGCAGCAGCTGTCTGTAGAGCTCCTGCTTTTCCTTCAGTGTCTGACGCTGCTGCTGTACGTGCTCTGGAATCTCTGAATTTGAGCCACCGGGGAAATTAGCCAGGGCCCCAGGATTGCATAGCAACTGCTGAAGCAGTGGCGGCTGCTGCTTTCCTGCCTCCAACAGCTGATGGATGGAGGGTGGAGCTTGGCACGACTTTGAAGCCATTGCCTGAAGTAACACCGCGAGTGCAGCCCCCGGCGTCAACCTCGCCGCGCCGCTGGCGATCCATTCAAGGCCAGAGACTTTAGGAGGCGGCACTGGGACTCTAACAGAGCCCTTGGGCAGACGCTCCAGTAGCCGTCTGTATACCGCAACACGGTTTAAGACGTGTGCCTCTAAAGGTCCCCCTGCTGTTTCCGCCTGCAACTGCAGCACGGGCTCGACTAAAGAAATGCTGCGCAACCTACCGGGAAAGAAATGGCCGAATGCAATTGCATGAGCACAGCCAACACCAACGCCCAGAAGGTGGAGCCCAACTTCGCGTTTCTGGAGCTCTCCAGAGGCGGAGAGCTGCTGCTCCTTCTGCAGCTGCAGCACGCGACTTACTACGTTGTTGAACAGCGCCGCCTGGTGCCAAAGACGATTTCTGCACAGCCGGGCTCTGTCCTCCGCAGTGACGCAGGTAGCTCCTTCAGCACTGGAGGCGAGTCTCTTGCGTCTGTAAGGTTGCTGCTGCTGGAGTTCTTCCCACGAAGTAGGAACACACGAACGCAAATATCCCCGTCTATTGATTAGCAGCAAGTGCTGAATACTGGGCGGGAAACGCAGGCCTGAAGCCAGAAGCTGGTCACTCCCACAAAGTCCGCCGTGGAAGAACAGCAGCATGTCACCCGCATTCTCGGGAACAGCAGGTGTGGCAGTGGCAGCTGTAGCAGATGCTATATTTGCTGCAGAACCTGCACGATTCTGCAAGTAGACATATTCTGTCGACTCCCCAGAGGACTCGTAAAGACTACTTTTGAGCTGCGAATGGCTCGCGCCGTTTGCACTGTCTGCGAATGCGCCAAGCAAACTGGCTGCTGCAGCACATGCGCCCGACTCAACAAAGGCCTGTTGCTTCTTCTGCCACCTCCAGTGCGCGGTGATGCCGAGGACTGCAGCAATGGCAGGAAAGGCCCATGGAGCCTCGGAAGCCACTATGGGGCTGGCAAGAGAGCTCATGCAACGCGAGCCGTCAGGCGAGAACCACGTGATGGGTGCAGGCGCACTAGGTTGACGAGGCCAAGCACGCTGCCTACTGGTATTACTGCCTGAGAACTTGGATGTGCTGCAATTGGGACGGTAGAGACTGATGCAGCTGCAGCAAGAACGCACTCGCCAGAAATGCGTTCTGTTTGCATGCACTGCAACAGGAGCTGCGCGTAGGGCTTGCGGCTGCAGCGGCATTGGGCCCTATCCCATAGAAGCTTTGCTCTGTCCACGCCACTAGTAGCAGCGGCCCTCACCAGAGGAAAGCTGCATATGGGATATGCTGACTAAGTGGCAAGAAATGCCACCTAAAAGTTCTGTTGCTCGCTTGAAAATGACGTTACCAATGGCGGGAAGTCGTCAGCTGGGTGGCTCATTTCTAAGGCTTTCCTGTACTGGGTACAGCAGCCACAGCACATGCAGTCAAATTGTGGCAAAGACGCAGCTCCTTGAATATAAGAATATCCAAACACAGAGCTGTTGAAGCAAATTTGTTTGGGAACCCCACGTGTCTCCACACATAACTGTGTTTGTAGGCTTATACGTGCACTTGCAAAGTTGCTGCTCGTGATGGGCTAGCCAAGAGACCGGCGAAAGCATATATTCAGATTAAGAATTTGACAGCCATTATTCGCCAACATCACGATGGAAATTCAAATATAATTCACTCATCGGATCTCCGTGCATGCGGGAGCTTGTCATTTACGGGGCTCATTTGAGCTAGGCCTGCAGCACTTGCTCAGCGAACGTCCTATTCATGCATAAAAAGCATAAAAACGTTGCCATTTCTTCTTTTTCACCGATGCATGTCTTACTTAACGTTATACTCCGTAAAAATTATTAGAAAGTGTCGGGCTTTGGGCTCATTCTTTGCTTGTGCACGCTTCCGCGGCGGTTCACGAAGACATCCCGTGGATTCTGCTGTGGCGTACTAATCTCTGTTACTCTAATTGCACCGCATTCCATTCTATTCCTCATAATAGCGTCAGGCTCCGCACATCTGTGTCCCTACTTTGACTTCTATAATGGCGGCGTCTACGCGAATTCGTACAGCGTAGACCCTCCCGTCACACGACAACAGATCACTACAGTTCCCCTGCGTCAGGCAGATGGGAAACTGTGGCAATAGTTCTTGTCTTTCGTCCATGTTTAAACATCTTTCTTTCCCTTATTGCACCATGAGGGGGCCTCAGAAGTCTCACGTGCTCCGCAGCCCTCAGAAGCTGGTCCAGTACACATCAAAGGGACTGCGATGTGGGATTGTCACCGCGCTTTTGACCGTCTCGAGCTCTTTTATGGTATCTGAGGCGACGCAAGAGCAGCGCCATCACCATGAGGAAGAAGCTATGGGCATTATCGACACATCGGCAGTGGCCATCGCCATTGGGCTTGCTTGTGTCGCCATTGCGGGCGCCTTCTACTTCTTCAAGGACCGTTTTTACAGCTCAACATCAAGCACGTTAGCTAAGCTTCACTGCGCCTGCTCCGTCAGAATGTCTCGGCGGGCTGGTCCTCAAGGGCCCAATATAAGTATACCTTTTGCAAGTGTGATGCTCATTGCGTTTAACTAAGGCCCTGTCGCCAGCAGCTTGATTTCTAGCAGCCAAGGGCAGTGGCCAAGGGTTTGTATTTTGTGCACATTGCAGGCCGCAGCCGCGGGCTGGCGAATCCCGCGGACGGAATGTAGACCGATCGGCTTTGGAGGAACTTATGTCGGGGGGCTCAGGAGCCTCTGCAGCCCGGAGCTCCACCCGCGCCGCCAGTACAGACCTTCAAGCGGCTCAGAAGAAAAAAGAAGAGCGGGAGCAGCGTCGCGAGCAAAGGCGGCAGCAGGGAGAAGCCGCAGCTCTGGCGGCAGCAGCTGCAGCCGCTGCTGCTGCTGCCGAAGCTGCATCAGAGTCGGATCAGGAGGGCGCGGCACATATGTCTAACAAGCAGGCAAAGCAGGAGGCATACAGGAAGCGTCAGGTACTGTTTGCTATAGTTGCACCCGTAAACGCTGTCCTAGCAGCTTCATTACCACCCGCATGTGCCTGCCCCAGGCGCTGCCTCCATGACAGGCTTTCTCTACAGACTTTCAGCTCTTGCCAGATTGTCGACAAAGTGTGGAGAGCCTGATCCCCTTTAATTACGAATAGTCAGTTGGGTGCGCCCTGCTGCAGTAGGACTGTTTGCTGATTTGCGGCCATTCTTATTCTCAGGCTGAGAGAGACAGGCTGCGAGCTGAACGAGAAGCTGAAGAGGAACGATTAGCTGAAGAAAAGCGAAAAAAAGAACAGGAGGAATACGAAGAATGGAAGGTAAGGCACGCGAAATTTAGCTGTAGGGTTAGGATGCACTACATAAGACTCCGAACTGAGTGAGGCCGGTAGAATTGACGCGGCTACAAGGCCAGTGAAGCAGTGTTTGTAAAATGCGCCTGACGAATTGAAGGCTTGCTTCGCGCCAAAGGCATGGGAAGAGCATGTTTCAAATCCTTAGGCCAAAGCTGTAGGCGTGGTCAGCAGCACATAGGTATTAATGCGTCCACGCGCCTGCAAACTCGTGGGATGTACGCTTACATCCATATTCACTTGTGGAAAGGGACTGCAAAGCACAGCAGCGTCACAGGCCAGTGGCCACACCTCGATAGGCAACGTGCAACTGCATTAGCTCCATTTCCCCCTTTGAGTTGCAACAGCGCGCAGAGTCGCAGCTGGCTTGATACGTGCATGCATTGTATATGCATTCTCTGGGACGCTTTTCAGAAAACGTTTGAAGTTGAGGCCGAGGGAGAGCTGCACGTCACCCCGGAGGAAGAGGCCAAGCGACTGGAGCAATTTTTGAGTTTTATTCGAATGCGCAAAGCTGTTGAGCTAGATGAAATAGCGGCGGAGTTTGGTCTTAAAACGAAGGTGCTTTCTTGGTTTTTTTACAATCCGTTCCCCCGCCTTTTGCCTTTTCATTCGCCGCCTCAAACGATGCAGCAGAGCAACGGCGGCCTACTGCAGCAAACCTGGAGTTCAGCATTTGTGGTTGTTCTGCTGCAGGATTGCGTGAAACGGATAGAAAGCCTGCAGGAGGCGGGCCGACTGTGTGGAGTGTTGGACGACCGCGGGCGTTTCCTCTGTGTGACAAAAGAGGAATTGCACAAGTTGGCGGAGGCACTAAAGAGTCAAGGCCGCTTCAGCAAGGAGACAGACCTAGTCTCCATTTGTAATCGCATCATCCGCCTAACGCCATCTGACGAGGTGCTCTGTCAAACTTAGCTAGCGTAGCGCTGAATCTTAGCCTTCAGCAGATATATGTGCTTGCCATGTGCGTTGCTTTGCCATACGTATTTTCTGCTTAAATGTGGTGTGCATCATTATTGCATGTTCATTGTATTCGTTGATGTACAAGGTTTGTACTGTCCCGCGTTCGCTTACAAGGAATTCACCATTCTTAGCCCACTTCCGCTCACGTCGTCTTGAAAGCTCGATTTGCCGTTTGTACGGCGCGAGGGAAGCCGCCACCTTGCAGCCTCGTGCCCCAGTCCTTGATCTGTCTCGGGCTTTGGTGTTCTGGATATGTATGGAGAACACATGCTCGAGCCTGTCGGAGTTCACCAGCCCGTGATGCGCTTTCAGCACCGCGCACACCTTCATGTTTGTTTAGTGCGAATGGGTTGTATTCGCAGGATAAGGCCAAGATAGAGGAGGAACAGCGTACATCCATGAGGCTTATTGAGCTCGCAGCTGCTGAGGAGTAGAGGCGCCGTTAATATACGAGCACCTCTTGGGGTACTCGTGGGCTACGAAAGTTGCAGCAGAAGCTGCACAGAAGCAGCTGCTGGCCTACAACAACGGCGGCAGGCACCTAGCAGTTCGCTTGTGCCAAACTAACTGTATGGCCATAGTTGCGGTGCTACTGGAACTATCCGCCTGCATTGGAACCGTGGAACAACGATGCTCCCTAGGGGTAGATGGAGCCTAGACAATAAGCGTTAACGCAACGATGCACGCATTAAAATGCACCACTGGTAGGCCTTCGGTTTCGAAAATCCACCACAAAAAGAAACGCAGCTGCTTTTGGCAACAGCAAAACCTGCCGGCCGCAGCTCCTACGCACCAAACTGAGGGCACGACTGACAGTGCTTACCCCAACGCCGGGATGCGATGGGGTAGCCGCAACGCTGCTCCTGCTGCGCTCACCGAGGGCCCATAGACACACATCTTCTTACTGACCCCCTTTATTATTCTAATTTCTGCTCTCCCGGTGAGATGCAGACTACATACACAACGCAGGGGACCAGTTGCGTGCACTATAGAACCACCTCCAGCCCCAAAAGCCCCCGTCCGCGCACCAACAGCTGCGGCGGGCGCTGCGCTGTGCAAGAAGAAGACGGTGAGATGACGCTGCCGCACTCTCCAGCTCACTTGCGCACCTACTCCGGACATACACTTGGCTGCTTCTGGTTAGCGCGTTGGGCCCTGGAGCCCCTCTGTCTGCTGGACTGCAGTTTGGCAACTAAACCACACTCTCACCACCTAGACAACAAGCTGCGGTCACGAAGGCAGCGCAAAGCTGTACCGGGGTTATTCTGTATGCACGCATACACGCTAGACGACCCCGGACCCTGGCACCGCTAGTCGGCCTGCCCTCTTCAAAAACGGATTCTAATTCCTCCGCCTCACTCGAGACCCCTGCAAGTACGGCAGGCGCATCTCCACAGCCATCCTAGACCAGTATTTGCGCTGGCCACCATGCTCTATCATGGCCAACCCCAAATCCGCCCCACATAAAATCACCTATCCTGGAAACCCACAGAGAAACTGCAACCTTTGGGCTTTGCTGTACGGCTCCCCCACTTCTGCCGCTACGTGATCCTCCACACGCGGCGATGCCTCTGCGTCGCTGGCACTTGTGGAGGTCGCCAACACAGTGCTGGGTTGCTGATGCGGCAAAGGGGGCGGCCCTGTAGCTGCGGCCGAAACCACAGAACCAGTGAGGCA